CCGCATGCTGTACCGACGTGCACGGCGCACCCGTACTCTCAACCAATATATTTCCGAGGCAGATCGACTTGTTCAGACTGCGCCAACGTTCCCTATTGCGCTGCACACGCGCGCGACGGCGTGCTACCTCGTGCTCAGGGAGTTCGCTCGCATGCAAGAGAGCCTCTTCCTCATCATCAAGCAACTGGTTGTTCAGAGATGCAATGTGCGCATACAACCCCTGAGGATCAACGAACGTGCCAGCGTCAACATCAAAGAAGTTGGAGAGCAATGGATAGGCACGCACTGCACGCACAACCGAATAGAATGAGGAAGCACGAAACCCACGCAGGACAGAGATACACCAATGCAGATACTAATGGACGGTCGTCGCCAGCCGAGCACGAAGTATCTTACGAAACTCAGCATGAGCCTCGTGCATAGCCACCTTGGTACGAGCGAGCTGCAACTGAATCGGGAGGCTCCGATCGATATTTGCGATCAGCCCATCCAGACACCTCATGTACTCTTCCGTGGTAGGGACCCAACCAGGAACCGGGGGAAGGACCGTCAGCCGCCCGAGGCTTCGGGGCAATGGTATCCATAACAGGGACGTGGTCGGAAGGGTTCTTGAGGTTAGTGGATCTCCCGATAGCGGCACCAGCCACGACAGGGTCCATGAGCACGGCAGGGGGGATATCCACATAAATTCGATCCAGACGGGCCGTCGAACCGAAACAACCTTGGGACCCAGGCAGGCACGACGAGTATCAAGAAGTTGGTAAAGCTCCGTCCAGGAACCGAAAGCCGCATTCCATTCAGGAGTAAAGGCCGTGTCCCCCCGAGTGAAAGTCCCGCCATCTATGTTGAAACCCCCTTCATCACTGAATGCAAAATTGAGGCCACCGAGCACGATGTGGGCGGCGGCAGCAGCAGAAAGAAGAGCAGACTGGATGCAAGAGAGACAATCACGATAGCAACCAATCCCAGCATTAGCATTCGGTAGGTGCACAACCACAATCCCCAAGAGACCAGCTTCACCCCATCCGAGAACGTACGACGCCTTACCAGGATAGAGAATCTCCTGGGCAAAACCACTGAACTGACAAGCTAGCTTATCATGCACGCAGACGAGTATGCCATGACCCTGCAGGTTATCTGGGTGAGAGTTGAAGAAGAACCTGTGAGACGTGAATTCCTTGCGAAGCGAGGCCAAGTCACCCTCATGACCATGAGACTCCTGTATACAGACGACGTGGTTGCGACGAAGCAGGGCAGCGAAAAGGCGCCAACGCGTACAAGACCTGGCTTTCATACTAGCCACACTTGCAAACAAGCCCCGGGCATTCCACGCGACGATCGATAACGGTTTCTCCGGTAGGAAGGGAATGCACAACGTCTCCCCGCACTCCTCAAAAAAACTGTTGGCCTCGACGAAACGGCCCTCGCACCGGAGAGAGGCAACCTCCTGTGTCAGCCACCCAGCCTCCACGGAGGCACTAGACTCTGTAGAGACACTGCTAAAGGCTCGACTGCTGCCATACCTTTGCTACCATCTCCTCATGCTTACCAGCGAGGCCGATCTGCTCGGAGTGACAAGCGAAGGCGATCACACGAGGCTGCTCAAAGACAGACAAGGGCTTCTGAACGCTGAACAACTTTAGCGCATCACCTGTCGACTCATTAGCTATGAAGACGAAGCCGTTGCCGACCGACGAGTCAACCTTCCACCCGTCGAGCTGCGGCACCGACTTCACTACCGACTTGACTTCCGTACGAATATTTCCCATCACCGTGAGCTGCTTGTTAGTCTCCACATCCCTGAGAGGCTTGAGACGCAGAAAGCGAGGGCCCTTGGGAGTGCTGAAGGAGAAGCCGTCAGGGTAGTTCTTACGAAAGGTCTCGATTGTCTCAGACGCAGCGTCACCCGACTGGAAAGCAAGAATCACTGTCTTCGAGAAGTTCTGGGGAGTGACCTTCATCTGAGCCAGGACTTCAGCACTAGCACAAGACGTGAGAATCTCCTGACACGACTTAAGGAGGACGGCCCTCGTGAAATCATCAGCACAGCCAACAACAATCGCTTTCGAGAGCAGGTCCTGGTTACCGCTCTTGGAACGAGCACTGATGCGGGCCTTCTTCGCCGAACTCTCTCTGCTGTCGTCGCTGCTGATGTCGAGGCTGCTGTTGCCGCTGACAGTCGCCACCGCACGCAACGCTGCTAACGCTGCCTCAGTATTCTCAATAGTTTGTTTCTGCAACATCAACCCATCCTGCCAGCTCTTTATAGTGACGGCAAGCTCGGAAACCTGCTGTGTCACCTTCGTGAGCGACTCATTCATCAACCCCACCTGAGCAGTCAACTCCCTGATCGCAAGCTCTGTGGCGTTCGGCGCCATGGCACCGATGATCAGAGCACAGACTGAAAACGAACTAGTGATCCGATCTGGTCGGAGAGAGGGAGAAGCAGAGCAGGGTGGCTATGCCCAGGATTCAAACAGTCCCATCAGCAGCGACCAAGCTCGAAGCGCCAGGGCCGCACGTTTCGAACTTGAGCCAAAATGGCTACGGATGATAATGATGATGATGATGATGATGATGATGATGATGATGAAGATGATGATGATGGGCGTGGCGATGATGACGAACAATTATCAGTGATTACGATGAGATGACGATAGCGACGCCCTGGTGATCGTGATGACTCTGATACGTGATGATGAAAGGATGGCGCCAGTGGATGGACTGCGCGGGACGACCAGAGAAAACAGAAACCAAACTTAGGATGTGACAGCAACAGCGCGATTAACATCAACTTCCAGATGCCCACGCGGAGTTCCTCGATCGGCGCTGCGCCCCCCCCCTCCATCCCTAACGGTCTCCAGGCGTGCCGCCAGGAAAGAGCCCGGCGCCGATCCAGGAAATCTGTGCGGACCTCCAACAGTCTATGTTCACAGCGTTTTCTCTCCTTCGATTCTTGTTCACCAGCGACGACATTCACCCTGAACGCGCAGAGACGCGCGCCGAGCGCTGCTAATTACATGAGACCCACGTGCCACGTCTAGAGCACGATCGTTGCGAATCCGACGTCTGCAACGCCGAATTGCTTGAACTGAGAAAATGAACCATGGGCGGGAGTCCAAAAGACTACTTTATAGCACTCGGGACGGTCAGGGTACAGACCTCCAGGGACCTCCAATCGCCCCTGTCCACCTAATCACCGTCACAACATTATGTTGTGCTGCTCCGAATCGTCCCAGACATTCCGGCCTCATCCTCCCCAACTCAAGGAGAAATCCTACAGTCTCTCTCTCATCCCAACTTCCAATCCAAAGAATTCCATTATTCCGTACCTGCAGAAATTCTGAGCTTCGCTCCCAACCAAATCTCCGGGTTTGGAAAAGAATTCCGGGTTTCAATAGGAATTCCGGGTTTCGCGAACCAGGCCGAGCCGGGTTTCGACTCAAAAAATTCCGGGTTTGCAGCGAATTCCCGGGTTGAACTCTCGACCTGAATTCGATGGCATAAGCCCAGTTTCTTTGCGTAGGAACCCGTATGTATGCATGTCCGAGGTATAGGGATATGTACACGAACTTCTTGTCCAAGATGTCGCTGGTGACTACGAATTGTCGGTTTCTCCATATATATATATATATACATATGCGTGAGTTCCTCCTCCTCCTCCTTCTCCTCTCTCTCGTTCTCTCTTTCTCTGTCTCTCTCTCTCTCTCTCTCTCTCTTTCTGTCTATTTCTCTATTTCTCTGTGTCTTTCGTGGAGCAATATTTGTGGTACAACATGCATGGTGCAATACATGTTGTGCAATCGATAGTATGCACTATGTGTTGTGTAATGTACAGATGCCGATGTACAGTATGCAATCTATGTGGTGCAATATACGTAGTGCAATAGATCATGTGCAATGTATGTTGTGCCACAAATGTGATGCAAGCTGTGTGGTGCAATCTATGTGGTGCAGCATATGCGGTGCAATCGACGCGGTGCGATCTATGTGGCTCAATCTACACTGTGCAGCCCAAGTGGCGACGGGGCGACGGAGAGGCGGCGACGGCGAGCACGGAGCCGCCAGACCGCCAGCCAAGCCCTGACGACGAGCGGCGACGAGGCGGCGACGGGGCGGCCAGACCGCCAGCCAGGCCCGGACGACGGGCAGTGACGAGGCGGCGACGCGGCGGCGACGGCGAGCGCGGAGCCGCCAAACCGCCGGCCAGGCCCAGACGACAGGCAGTGACGAGGCGGCGACGGGGCGGCGACGGCAAGCACGGAAAGCACGGAGCCGCCAGACCGCCAGCCGGGCCTGGTTCCTTTGAAAAGAAATAAGAACCCCTAGTGCAACAACTGTTTGGGCAATCTCTCTGTATATTTATATATATATACATATATATATATATAGAAAAAGAGAAAGAGAGAGAGAGAGAGAGATTCCTCCCTCGAGTGCTCCCCCAAGTGGTTCCACAGCGGCTGGCAGAGCACATAGTCATATATCCTGGCCACACTGTGGGCGAGCGTCTGGCCACACAGGCGCTTCCAAAAGGCAGGGGGGCGGTTTTTCGCCGTAAGCGTCTTCGACAACTTCACATGTTCCACTGCGTGCGCGCGCACGCTGCAGCCGCGGTCATTCCGTGTGAAAGGTGTCGCGTGCAATCGGGATCTCGCACGGCTACACTGTAAATAAAAAGGTCTAAGGTAGAGGACACACGGATCCACTACCATGACCACCTGATCGATTGGCCGACTGACGCGGCCGATGGTGCTGATATCGCTGATGCTGGTGGTAATGATGGTGGTGAGGTTCGTGAAACTGGTGCGTTAGAGTATTGAACCAAAGTGGTTTGATATGATGATGGCGATGACGGTGCGGGAGGAGGGAGATCAGGCGCAGGGGAAGAGGAGATGGACGACGAGGTCGATTATCATCCTCTCGTCCTCCTCTTCGAAAGGAGGACGAGGAAGATGATGAACGGTACCGCCCTCCTGGGCTGTGGGGGCGCAGGGGCGCACTTCAGGTCTCTGTGCAGGATCGCTGGGGAGAGCCCGTGGAGATAGCCGATGCCCGCCGCCGTGTCGGAGCAAATCTTGAGCTTCTGCCGCCACGATATCTCCAGGTCCTCTGGGTTGCTCTTCCTCCACCTCCTCCTCGTCCTCCTCCTCCTCCTCCTCCTCCTCCTCCTCCTCCTCCTCATCCTCATCCTCATCATCATCATCATCATCATCATCATCATCATCACCATCATCATCATCATCATCATCATCATCAACATCATCATCATCATCATCATCATCATCATCATCATCATCATCATCATCATCGTCATCATCATTATTATCATACAAACCCAGTCAGGCACCCCCCTCCTCCTCCTGATCATCCGCCTCCTCCTCCTCATCATCCTCCTGTCCATCATCATCATCATCATCATCATCATCATCATCATCGTCATCATCATCATCATCATCATCATCATCATCATCATCGTCATCATCATCATCGTGATCATCATCCTCCTCTTCCTCCTCCTCATCATCATCATCAGCATCATCAGCAAGATCAGCATCAGCATCATCATTATCATCATCAGCATCATCATCATCGTGATCATCATCATTCTCTTCCTCCTCCTCCTCATCATCATCATCAACATCAGCATCATCAGCATCAGCATCATCATCATCATCAGCATCATCATCGTCGTCATCATCATCCTTCGAAAAACGAATCTGCTCTTGCACGGCCCGGCGATGGCCTCCCGGGCCTGCTGCCCGAGAAACAGACCCCCACACACGTGCATAAACTGGCGCACGGACCCCTGCGCCCGCGCACCCGAAGCCTTCAGCAGCGCGTGCACCACTCCGCACCCGAACGCCTCTCCCCTGCCTCGCCGCCCTCCCCTCTTCGGGGGGGGGCCTGGCCCTCGGCCCCCTGCGCTGCCTCCCGCGCCCGCCCGCTCCTCCCCGGCCTCCCCTGCCCCTCGCTGCCTTCGGCGCCTGGTCCTGCGGGCGCCCCTGCTGGCCGGTGGGATCCTCTGGGGGTGTGTCGCCCCGCGCAGGCGCCGTCGGACGGTCGACGTGGGTCGGCGGAGCAGAAGGACGGGACCATCGCGACATGTTTGGAGTTGTGTTCTGCGCTCGTTGGAGCGCTCGCTCTGAGCGCGCGCGTTTCGCGTTGTCCCGCACATCGCGCCATCTGCTGCGCCAGAAGCACAGGCCCCGTCCTTGTACAGCGCCAAGTCGTTGTCGCTGACTCCGTGCTTCAGCGCCCCAAGCATAGGCGTCTGCCGCCATGTTTCCCCAGCGATGCCAAGCGGCCCGCATGCGCATCTGCCATGCTGGTGTGCGCGCGCACCTTTTTGACACCGAAAGCGCCACATGGGCGCCGAGGCGCCTCGGTCAGCGTTCCCCAGCCTCGCCCCAAAGCAGGGGTGTTCGGCATGCCTTGGCAGTCGATATGAAAATTGATATGCAGTGCAGGCCATGGCCACAGTGGGCAACATCGCAATCGCATCATCTTCCTCGTTCCGCGAGGTCTGGCCCTAAATCGCCACCACCCAACTGCCAGCGCGGTCTGTCCGGACCGCCGCCCAGCCCGATGCCAAAGCCCTTCATGCGTTGGCCCCACAGGCTGGGACTTGGCCCCATGCATTGAGCCCGCATGCAGGGGAGTTGACCTCGCACGCGCTGCACGACACATGCGCTGGTCACTCGCGCGCTGTCGTACTCGTGCTGGGGCGGTGTCCCCGCGTTGTCGTGCTCGAACTGGGGCGCTGGCCCCCCTCGTGCGTTGACCACGCACTCTGGGGCGCTGACCCCTCATGCGCTGCACTGCGCATGCCGGGGCTCCGGACCCGCATGCCGCAGCAGGCATCTCCCAATGTAGTGGCGATGGCATCCGCATCGCCCGCCCTCCCCCGCGCGGAGGGCGCCCTATCGTGCCAGTCAGAGGACGGCCTCCCTGGGCCGTGCCCGCCCGCTCGCAGCGGCGCCGGCCTCGAGGGGAGCGCCCAGCGGTGAGATGGGTGGACGGCTGTGCGCTGCCAGAGTGCGTCCACGTCCACTGCTGCCGGGGGCACGACTCCGCAGCAGCGGGTGTGGAGATGTCCTGGCCGTGGACGCGGCCGCAGCAAGTTCCACCTCCTCCTCCTCGGGGGGCCAACCCCCTGGGAGCCCAGATTCAGCTTGATCGCCCCTTCCTGTGAAGAAGCGGGGTGTGAGACCCCTGGGGCAACGTTCGCCTGGACAGGCCACTGGGACTGTACCCTCTCCAGCCGGGGGTCCTGATTCGGGCCCCCCCCCCTCTCGTTCAGCCCTGCATCGGGTGGGGGGGACCATGGGGGCCCATTCTTGAAACCAACAATGATTCAATGCTGATACCTCCTCTTCCTCCTTCTCCTCCTCCTTCTCCTGCTCATCCCCCGCCCTCCCTCTTCCTCCCTCTCCCCAGCTGCGACGCAAGAGAGAACCAGGCGGATCGCGTGACAGCGAAGCAGATCGAGCAAAAAGAGCAGATGGAAGCAAGAACTCAAAAGGAGAGCTCCTGCTGCACGTGCAGCAAGTTGAAGGCATTGCCTTTGCGGCATGCGCGGTATGAGCTATGGGCATGCACAGGAGGCTCCGGATAGGAATCTGAGGAGTAGCAGGAGGAGGTGGGGATTACGACGAGGAAGATGATGATTGAAGTAGGAGGCGGAGAAGCAAGAAGGGTGGGAAAAAGGGAGGAGGCATAGGAGGGGGAGAAGGTCAAGGAAGAGGTCAGCGGCGAAGCGTACTACCCCCTCCACCCTGCAGCTTGCGATCCGCTCGACAGCCCGCGAGGCGAAGCCAGGCAGGAGACAGGCACACTCGCTTTTCGTGTTACCACGTCCCCAAGCCCTGCGGCACCCCAATCGCGCGGCACCGAGCACCGATTGTGCCGCGCGCGTGCCAGTCACACCGAGAGGCAGAGAGACAAAGAGGAGGGGGAGGAGGAGTGGGAGGAGGAGGAGGAGGAGGAGGAGGAGAAGGAGCAGGAGCAGGAGGAGGAGGAGGAGGAGGAGGAAGAGGAGGGAGGAGGAAGAGGAGGAGGAGGAAGAGGAGGAGGAGGAAGAGGAGGGAGGAGGAAGAGGAGGAGGAGGAGGAGGAGGGAAACAGATCGGCCCATGGATCATCACGGTGCCGGCGGCCCAGCGAGGGCCCAGAACGCGGCGGCGGGGCGTGCCGCAGACGACCGGGTGCAAGCGGCGCGCTCCCCCTGTTCAACAAAATGACAGGAGCTCTTTGCGTTCCTCATCCACCACCACCTCCTCCTCCTCCTCCACCACCACCTCCTCCTCCTCCTCGGAGAGGCCTACGAAACACAACCCATGCCCGGTGGCGAATAGGCCGAAGGCCCCTTGATAGATGTAGCGTTATGCAGACGCGGGAATACAGAACGCCGAGGAAGAAGATACAGTAAGACATACGAGCACATGCATATCTACAGGGATGGTTATATGTATGCACGTCTAAAATTATACACACATGCAACGCAACACACATATACAAACATAGATGCATATATCACTAAATGTGTGTAGACAGAAGGGTGCGTGTAATTGTGTATGTATGTATATATGTATGTATGTATGTATGTATGTATGCATGCATGCATGCATGTATATATATATATGTGTGTATGTATGCATTGGTGCAGGTATGTATGTTTGCATGCATGTGTGTATGGATGTGTGTATGCATGCAGGTATGTACGCGTGTATGTATGCACGATTAAATGTATGTATGCATGTATGTATGGCTGTATGCTTGTATGTATGGATTATGTATGTAAGTGTGTGTGTTTGCGTGAGTGGTTCTATTTGTGTAAATAACTGTAAGCGCACATGCATGTTTACATATATGTATGCCTATATAGAAGCCTGCGTGTAAGTATATATGTATGGATGGATGGATTGATATGTGGATGGATGTGCATATACGTATGTATGGACGAATGTGTGTATGTGTATGTGTTATGTGCATGAATGAATGTGTATGTGTATGTGTATGCGTACGTGCATGTGTATGCGTGAATGTGTATGTGCGTGCGTATGCATGTTTGTGTGTATGTTTGTATGGAGAGAAGGCCGGAAAGAGAGGGAGAGGGGTAGAATCAAATACAAAACTGATAGCGGACGAGAAATATACACATGTGAGTGCGTGTGTATACTCATACATACAGAAAGAGAGACATCTAATAAAAGTGTGTGTGAATGTGACAAGTAGAAGCCGAGAAAGAGAAAGGGAAAGGAAGAGAGACAGAAAGAGAGAGGGACAGGATAAAGAGAGAGAGAGAGCGAGATGGAGAGAGAGTGAGAGAGAGAAGAATTGGACTCCGTGAAAGGCGCCTCCGCGGCAGAGCTCCGTGACGAACTCGGGTGGGTCGTTGGGCACCACCTGCAAGCGATAAAGACCCTAAGCGCCATCACCATCATCATCATCATCATCATCATCATCATCATCATCAGCAACAGCAGCATCATCAGCAGCAGCATCACCAGCAGCAGCATCAGCATCAGCATCATAATCCTTATCACCATCATCCTTAAGATCGTACTCCTCTCTTCTTCCCCCCCCCTCGTCCACCGCATCCTCTCTTTACGCGCCTCCCCCAAAGCAAGAAAGCCGCAGCGGGTCCACGCGTCCGCCTGCCCAGCCCTCGCGGCCACTTACCGTTGAGCCCCTTTGGAAACGTTGGAGGCAGGAAGACCGAGGGACCTATCGTCCTCCCCATTCTTGCCCCATCTAGCGCCTCCCCCTGGATCCCGCGACCACGGCCCGGAGATTGTCGGCGCCAACAGCAAGTCTCGCATGGCAAGGCTCATCAATCCAACGGTCACCAAGATCCTGGCACGATGAGACACTGATCGGTTCCCCAAGACCAAGTCGAGGGCCCGCTCCCTCACCCGAAGCTGCCGGCCCGGCGGCATGGCCATCGCCTACCATTTGGCGGGCATCCACGGCGCCGCCGCCACGGCCACGGCCCCCTCGGACACCGACGCGCGTGCATGGCCCCGCGGACAGGCTCCGCGCTGCCCCCAGGCAGCGCGTGAGCACCTCAGCGACCACCTGGCCCTCCCGCGCCGCACTACCAGCGAGACGTCCGCCTGCCCGACCTGCCAGTCGACTGCCACCACGGGAGGGCGCCAGAGCTCCTCTGCGCCACCGCGCCCCCGTGGAGCCCCCCCGCCGCCAGCGGGGAGGGAAGGGGGGCCCGCCCCCGTGTACAGGCGTGGCCACCCCACCAGCGGGGCGCGCCACCTCGGCCCCAGCCACGCGCCTCGCTCGCGCCGTTCACCCGCGGACACACCGCCGCCAGTCACCCAGGGGGCCCGCCAGGCCGCCCCAACAGGGGTCCGCCGCCCCAGGACGGCGGTTCCGGCCGCGAACTCTCCCCCAACGACCGCTCCGACGCGAACTCCCGGCCCAGTCGGGCCTCGAATCAGCCTGCGGCCATATGGTTGTCCATCAACCCCGCCACCCTCCACGTGTCGAGCTGGGAGGTGAGGGCTGACATGGAGGTGGCATGCGCCCAGGGTGGCCGCTCTTCGACTCGCCCTACTCGTGCGACGAGGCCCCCGACGGCGCCCGCCTGGCCTGGGGGTGCGCACTCGAGGCGCTTCACCCTGTGGACCCCAGGTACGAGGGGCGGGTCTGCATCAAGGTGTACAAACAAAGGTACTGGGCTCACTGCGGTTCCAACAGTACCATGATGACCCCACGACGCCCGCACGGCGCTCGTCGACCCAGAGGGAATGGGCTAGCCTGGTGCTGCCTGGGACCCAGGCCGTGGCTCACCCGGGACGGGCTTGGTACCTCAGGGGCGGCAGGCCTCCGTGGCGTGCCCCTAGCTGCCCAAGAGGAGACCACTCCTCGCTGGGTGTGCCACCACTGCCACTACCAGCTGTGCAAGTGGTGCGGCAGCACCAACACGGGCACACCACAAGCCGCCGAGCAGCGGCAGCTGGGCTCCACTTCGCCGTGCCCCGCGCGCATCGGCCAACCGCCGAGCGCGCCACGCAGTGGTCAGGACAGACCCTCGGCACCCGCCACTGTGCCTGCAGCCGAGCCCAACTCCACGGCACCAACGCTTGCGGTTTCTGCAGCCGAAACGCGAAAGGATACAGCGGCAGAGACGTCACCATGGGCTTGCCTCTCTGCGAGGCCGAGCGCGCCGCGCCTGCGCCCACGGCCACGGCCCTACGGCGGAGTGTGCGCGATCGCCACGTGACCGCCAGGTGGATCTGCTCCCTGGCCTCCATGGCCACTGCGAGGCCCCCGGCAGCCCAACCCGCGCAAGCATCGTCGTCTCGTTCTACCCTGGCCCACGCCTCAGCGACGATACCGACGTCGACAACCGCGCTCTGTTGGCCTTCCGCTGTACCACCCCAGCCCAGGCAATAGCGGACCCAGACGTCAACACAGTCCAGGACATCCAGCGTGTTCTCGCACGGCGGCACCTCGAAATCGAAGAAGGGGGTGCGGACATGGACCTCACGTGGCCCAATGGCCACCGACTGCACCCCGAGCAGAGCCTGACTCGACGTGCTCGTTCACGGGTGCCAAGAACGGCACGGGCGCGTACGAGCTCAACGAGACCATCCCCGCATCCCGGCAGTTCGGCAAGGGCGGGAGGGAGGGAGGGAGGGAGGGAGGGAGAGAGGGAGGAGGGAGGGAGGGAGGGAGGAGGGAGGGAGGGAGGGAGGGAGGGAGGAGGGAGGGAGGGAGGGAGGAGGGAGGAAAGCTCCACGAGGGCAGAGGCAGGGGCTACGACCCATACCATGCCGCCGCGGGCCACCACGAGCGCCCCCGCGACCACGGCGGGTCCAGGCCCACGACCACCCGACTGCCCCGCCCGGGCGGCAGCCGTGGCAACCACGCCCGGCGGAAAGCTCCCACCGCTGAGCTCCGGCAGCGCTGGCGGCGCCTCTCCCTTCTCCTGGGCGCAGTTGCGGACCGCCGCGGTAGGCGCTGCAAGTCTCAGCCCCCGAATCGTGATCGTCTCACTCAGCGTGATTTGCCCTGTCACCCTGCCTGAATGCGCGCGCGCGTGCGTGCGTGCATGCATGTCCACGGCGATGCGCACGCGCGCATGTTCGCGCATGTCCACAGCGACGTATGTAATCGACTGCGAAATGCCTGCGATCGTGATTATTTGATGACGGCTATGAGCGCTACTGAACCTCCAATTAGCATTTACCCTGAGTGCCGAACGCCCGTGGGCTAGGTGCCGACTGCCGTGGTTGAAGTTCACGTCGCCCAGCGGCCGCGCTGCCAAACGCGTCGGACGAGGCGGCTGCACCCGCGGATGGTGCACCCGCTGTCGAAGCGGATGTCGTAGCTCGTGTCCTGGAGCGTGACGGTGTCCAGGAGGTCGGTCTCGAACCCGAAGTTTGCCGGCTTCACGCCGGCTGGGATCGTGCCGCCCCGCAGGGACTGCAGCTCGGCCTCGAGCTTGGTCTTGCGGGCGTTGGTCTTCTGGAGGCTCTCGATTTTGGCGGCCAGGGTCGTGCTGGCCTTCTTGATGGAGGTCTTCAGGTCGGAATTCATGTAATCCTTAAGCTCCTTCTCGATGAGGTCGCTGAGGTTGTTGTCGTCGCCCGCGCGCGCGGCTCCCGCTTGGGGCCCGCTCGGCATCAAAGCGGAGGCAGGGGCCAGCCCGCCAAATGGATCGGCCGCCGGCGGCGACCGCGAGCGGTCACCCGCTTCCCCTTCACCTGGGCGCGCGGCCGCAGGTGGGCCCTCAGCGCCATCACGGACACCCTCTGCGCCCAGCAACTGTCGCCTGCCGGAGCGCTGAGTCCCCAAAGGTTCTCCGCGGGGTGCCTGGTAAGCCATGCTGAATCAGTACTGGAAGTAAGTATGGGACGTACAAGGAATGAGGTGCAGTAACTGACTCAAGACGTGGACGATTTTTGCTGTTATGCGCGGCCCACCACTCTGCTAAGGTGGGACGTGGCCTCGGTGCTAAGCGCTCTCCGCGCTGCAAGATGATAGAGCCGAAGTTGCAATGGAACGGATTGAAAATAAAATGTGCCGAATTTGTCGTAACGGTTGCTCGGCTTCGAGCTGGAACTCAACGGCCCGGCGCCGAAGACCCAGACAAGACTGAACCCTCCTACCTACCCCTAGCACCTCCGAAAGATTATAAACAAGCAAATGTCATCAGCATCATATTGCTGATACTTCGTGAGGGCGCGGGCCAAATGGCGACCCCCCAGCCTCCACGAGATTTGCGGGCACATCGTGAATGGAAGCTTGAGGTGGTCATCCGGTCTCCACCGAACGAAAGCACGTTTGACCGCCGTGGGAACACGTGCAAGAGACCAGTCAAACCTGCACGGAACGATTAGCCTGCTAGGTGGAACCCGCGAGCGAGGGCGGGCGAGAGTCATAGACGACGGCTTCGGATAATCTTGCAAATGTACGTGGCCTGGGCACGCCTTCTGAAGACGGTCCCTGAACGCAGCCACATGTGAGTCGGCAGTGCGGCGGCACGTGCGTCTACGCCGCAACCTGGATCCAAAACCCTTCGGCCAGGATGCGTGCACGTGCGGCGGGTGGGCCGAGGAGTAACACAACGGCACCCAAACGGAAGTGGGTTTCACATGCACCGCGTGCTCCACGGCAACATTGTCACCTCTGTCACAAAAATTAAGACTGAGATCCAACATGATCGCGCGAACAGGGTCGATGCAATCGATCGTCAGATCGAAGCAACGGCTCAGGGCCTGCATGCGTTGCAACATCTCGCGAAGCAGGTCTGGTCTGGAACTGATGCACAGAATGTCGTCGCGAAATCGGCCATAGAAAACAATGCCGTACTCGCGCCTGATGTCTGAACGGAGCACAAACGGCTCCTCGACCGTACTGTAGAACACGAGATCCGAGACTTCGCCACTGCAGCACAAGCCCATACCGGTGCCCCGAAGGACCCTGCACACGAACGGGCGCGCGTCAAAGTCGTCAGACAGACATATTGGTTACGGACAATGCTGGACAACATGGCTCGGAAATGCTCTCGGCCCTCAGCGATGTGCCTCGCGCACTCGTTAATGAGAAGGCCATGCTCGCCTGACATGTAAAAGTCTTCGATGTCAAGTTTGCAGAACACGCAACCCCGAGGCAACGTAAGGGCCGACAGCTGACGTTGCAGCTGCTCTGTATTAGTTAGCAAGTGCGGCAACCGTTGGAGAACCTGTCTGCACCTCCACGCTACCCAGCGCATGCCCGGAAGCATGGGATGCCGCGAACTACAATGAAGCGCCCTGCAGGTGACTTGCCCAGCAGGCTTGTGAGTTTTCACTGTCAGGGCAAGCACAGAAAACAGCCGCGTGGGCAGAGAACGATAATCATGCAGGAGGGCCTTCACCAGGTCTTCGTCGTCAAAGCTCTGGGCGGCCTCACAATATTCAGTCATCGCCTCCACCGCAAATGCCTCGTGCCATGCTACGCGGGAGTAAAAATCAGAAGCCAGAACTCGGAGTTTCTCTTCGTGGATGGCGGCCTTCGGTAGCACGGCAAAACCACCGTCCTTGTCAGCGATGCAAGCGCCGACTGGTGAATTACGGAGCAAATCCAGCGCCAGCTCAGCAAACCCGTTCAAATTGGTGGGGCGGCCGAGGGATGAAACCCGATGCCTCGCACGCCTGCACTCCTCAAACACTTCGTGTTTAGTGTCAGAGATGAAATTCTCGACGGCAAGATTGAAAGTCATCGGACACGGGTGCGGCACTTGGCGCCTGGAGCGCAGAAAATGCCACTGGTTGAATTCAGAATCAGAAATTACGATACGCCAGCGGAGACGGTGCTCCCAGATGTACAAACTCGAGCCGATGTCCCTTAGGGACGGAGGTCGGCTGCTAGAAAACACATGTTTTCGATGATACCGCCTCAACAGGAACTCCAAGGGCCAGGCAATGGCTCCAGCGGGGGGCGCGCAGGCGACCCTCTGGGTCAAGTCCGCCATGTACCACCCAGGCTTGCCGCGCCCTGTGTCGAACAGGACGGCGAGGTCAGCGGGCGACATCGCGCTGCACAGGGTGAGGAACTTCATTGCCACCAGGTCTGCAAGCGGCCGTTCCCCCGACCTTTGCCGCCGCCTCTCGAGCTGCCACGCCCTCTGCCTGTCTTGCCTTTGGATGTGCCTTTGGCTTTGCCTTTGCGAGGCTTTCCACTTGTCTTTGCCTTTGCTCGAGCCCTTGCCAGGCGGCTGCGAGGGAGTCGAGGGCGGCTTGTCTTTGCCTTTGCCGCCGGCCTTGCCCTTTCCGACTGTCTTGTTTTTGCCCTTGGCTTTGCTTTTGCCAGCCACCACGCCCCCGCTCGAGGCGGGGGCCAAGGAGTTTTTTGCAATGACGTCTGCCAGGTCGCTGGGCTGAATGTTGTCACCTTTCTGGAGCTGCCGGATGGACGCCTCCAGGTGGGCATTGGCGCCTGAAGCGCTCGAAGATCCGTCCGCTCGCTTTCTCAAGGCCTCTCTCAGCTTCAAGTCGATGGCAGTGCTCAGGTGGTCGGCCGGTTTCTTCTCCAGGAGGGCCGTGGCCACCTTGAGTTGCCTGTTTTCCGCTTGCTTCCGCTTCTCCTCCTCCATCTTCTTGGCCTTCACAGCGCGGTCCACGAGCTTCGTGTAGATGGCCTCGCCCTTCGCGCGCAGGGAGCTCTCTGAGACGCCGTGCGGGCCGTCGCCGACCTCCAAGTCCAAGTCCAGGGTGTTCCATCCGCTGTCAATGGAGGTTCTCTCGGCCAGCAGGCGGTCGATGAAGTTGCCCTTCCTTGTGTATTGCCAGAGGCGCGTCCGCTGCTCCTCCACGACGCGCAGGTCCAGCTCCCTGCACTTCTCCAGGTAGAAGATGTGAAGCTTGCGCTTGGCGTCGCGGATGGTGCACCCGCTGTCGAAGCGGATGTCGTAGCTCGTGTCCTGGAGCGTGACGGTGTCCAGGAGGTCGGTCTCGAACCCGAAGTTTGCCGGCTTCACGCCGGCTGGGATCGTGCCGCCCCGCAGGGACTGCAGCTCGGCCTCGAGCTTGGTATTGCGGGCGCTGGTCTTCTGGAGGCTCTCGATTTTGGCGGCCAGGGTCGTGCTGGCCTTCTTGATGGAGGTCTTCAGGTCGGAATTCATGTAATCCTTAAGCTCCTTCTCGATGAGGTCGCTGAGGTTGTTGTCGTCGCCCGCGCGCGCGGCTTCCGCTTGGGGCCCGCTCGGCATCAAAGCGGAGGCAGGGGCCAGCCTGCCAAATGGATCGGCCGCCGGCGGCGACCGCGAGCGGTCACCCGCCTCCCCTTCACCTGGGCGCGCGGCCGCAGGTGGGCCCTCAGCGCCATCACGGACACCCTCTGCGCCCAGCAACTGTCGCCTGCCGGAGCGCTGAGTCCCCAAAGGTTCTCCGCGGGGTGCCTGGTAAGCCATGCCGAATCAGTACTGGAAGTAAGTATGGGACGTACAAGGAATGAGGTGCAGTAACTGACTCAAGACGTGGACGAGTTTTGCTGTTATGCGCGGCCCACCACTCTGCTAAGGTGGGATGTGGCCTCGGTGCTAAGCGCTCTCCGCGCTGCAAGATGATAGAGCCGAAGTTGCAATGGAACGGATTGAAAATAAAATATGCCGAATTTGTCGTAACGGTTGCTCGGCTTCGAGCTGGAACTCAACGGCCTGGTGCCGAAGACCCAGACAAGACAAGACAAGACAAGACAAGACAAGACAAGACAAGACAAGACAAGACAAGACAAGACAAGACAAGACAAGACAAGACAAGACAACAAGACAACAAGACAAGACAAGACAAGACAAGACAAGACAAGACAAGACAAGACAAGACAAGACAAGACAAGACAAGACAAGACAAGACAAGACAAGACAAGACAAGACAAGACAAGACAAGACAAGACAAGACAAGACAAGACAAGACAAGACAAGACAAGACAAGACAAGACAAGACAAGGCAAGACAAGACAAGACAAGGCAAGACAAGACGGGCAGTTCCGCAAGGGCGGGAGGGCGGGAGGGAGGGAGGGAGGGAGAGAGGGAGGAGGGAGGGAGGAGAGGGAGGAGGGAGGGAGGGAGGGAGGGAGGAGGAGGGAGGGAGGGAGGAGGGAGGAAAGCTCCACGAGGGCAGAGGCAGGGGCTGCGACCCATACCATGCCGCCGCGGGCCACCACGAGCGCCCCCGCGACCACGGCGGGTCCAGGCCCACGACCACCCGACTGCCCCGCCCGGGCGGCAGCCGTGGCAACCACGCCCGGCGGGAAAGCTCCCACCGCTGAGCTCCGGCAGCGCTGGCGGCGCCTCTCCCCTCTCCTGGGCGCAGTTGCGCACCGCCGCAGTGGGCGCTGCAAGCTTCAGCCCCCAAATCGTGATCGTCTCACTCAGCGTGATTTGCCTCGTCACCCTGCCTGAATGCGCGCGCGTTGCGTGCGTGCATGCATGTCCACGGCGATGCGCACGCGCGCATGCTCGCGCATGTCCACAGCGACGTATGTCATCGACTGCGAAATGCCAGCGATCGTGATTATTTGATGACGGCTATGAGCGCTACTGAACCTCCAATTAGCATTAACCCTGAGTGCCGAACGCCCGTGGGCTAGGTGCCGACTGCCGTGGTTGAAGTTCACGTCGCCCAGCGGCCGCGCTGCCAAACGCGTCGGACGAGGCGGCTGCGAACCATGCCAAGAGGGGCAACACCGCGTACCAGGCCGCATTCCAGCGGAGGCCAGCTGGGGGGCGAACTCGTGTAGAGGCGTCCTAGATGGGGTCCGAGTACACGCGGTCGGAGGATCACGCCGCATCGCCAAAGCGTCGGCGATGCCTCGGCGATGCATCGGCGGCATCGGCGATGCATCGGCGACGTCGGCGACGCATTGGCGACGTCGGCGACGCATTGGCGACGTCGGCGCGGAGAACACCGGGCCCCACATCGAGCCGCACCGCCGGTGCATCTGCGGCGCGACCCTCCGACCCCGTCTCCTCGGGCCCTGCCTGGGAGGCCCAGCCCGCGGCCTCCCCCGCGAGCTCGGAGCGGGCCCGGGCTCGTGTCCGCGGGCCGCCGCCTCGCTCGCGGCGGGGCGCGGGCGCCGGGCCGCGCCCCTCCGCCCCGCGCGGGGTCGCGGGCGGCAGCCTCGGCCTGCCGCCGGCAGTTGGGGCCGCCTCGCGGGGAGGCGGGCCCCCCGGCGCCACGCCGCCAGGGCATGGGGGCACGGCGGCCCGCGCCGAGAAGATTGGGCCGCTCTCCAGGAGAAGGGGAAGACTGGCGCGGCTGCCTGCCTGGCGCCCGAGGCAGGCACGAGCCAACATGGCGGAGTAAGAAGGAAGACAGAGAGAGAGAGGGAGGCAAGAAGGAAGGGAGGGAGAAGAAATAGAGAGCGAGAGAGGCAGCGAGAGACAGCGAGACAGAGGGATCTGGAGGGAGACAAGTCAGAGAAAGAAGAAGATAGACAGAGAGAGAGAGAGAGAAAGAAAGAAAGAAAGAAAGAAAGAGGTCAGGGGTGGGAAGTGGGCAAGTGAATGAGAGGGGAAGAGCAATGACAGAAGCTGAAAAGGGAAGAGAGGGGCGAGGGGGCAGGGGAGTTAGAAAGAGGGGGGGAGTGGGCAACGGCGATGGAGCGAGAGGTGGCGAGGGACAAATTATCGCCTGCATAATACTTGTGCTTCCTCCCATTGAGGTTCATCCCTCCTCCCTTTCTCGAGACGCTCGAAGCCTCCAGCGCGATCCCTCGCATAGACACGCGCCACGCCGCCCGCTCGAACGACACGGGCTGGTCAGTATTCGTCTGCGCGCATCCCAAAGCGTTATTGCTTTCCGCTGCTGCCGCTCCTCCTCCTTCTCCTCCACCTCCTCCTCCTCCTCGTCATAAGCATCATCATCAGCAGCATCATCATCAGCAGCAGCATCAGCATCATCAGCATCAACATCATCATCCTCAGCATCATCATCATCATTATCATCATCATCAGCAGCAGCATCAGCATCATCAGCATCAGTATCATCATCATCATCATCATCATCATCATCATCATCAGCAGCAGCAGCAGCAGCATCAGCATCAGCATCAGCCTCATCATCATCACCAGCCATCAGCATCAGCATCATCTTCGCTCCTCCTCCCTCACGTTCCGTTGTCGCTATGCTCTCTTACCCTCCCACCTTCCTCCTCCCCCGTCCCTCCTCCCTCACCGCCACTCGGTGCCGCCCCACAGCTGCGAGATTCGATGAAGCGTGCTTGCAGCACTCAGGAGCCACCCCGTATAAGTGGAGCAGGTTCGGGTGGCTTATCTTGGCGAGGATCCGAAGCTCCTCGCACCAAGGTCACAAAGATTCCCTTCATTGCTCTTCGTAGCTCCTCCCCCTGCTCGAGTGCTTCCTCCTCCGCGTCTTCCCCACTTCGCTTCCTGGCCAGCGGCACCAGGACGATGCACCCTGGACTGCGGTTGCCTGAGACCTACCGAGCCCAAAAGTCGTGTGAGGTGCTGCGACTGGGATCGCTGGGGGGCTGCCCTTCACCTCACCCTTGTGCCCACGGTGAGATTTTAGAGCCACGGGGAGGGGGGGGGCGGATCGCGGCTGACACGGCCCTGCTCGCCGTCGACTGTTTTTGGATAGGCGGCGTGGCCAAGGCAGGCAGAGCCGCGGCGACTCGACGGGGGGGGGCTCTCCCCTCATCAGCACCATCAGCAGCATCAGCATCAGCATCAGCATCATCATCAGCATCATCACCATCATCATCATCATCATCATCATCATCATCATCAGCAGCAGCAGCAGCAGCAGCAGCAGCAGCAACCTCAGCATCCTCATCGCCATCATCATCAAAAGTATCGTCATCAGCAGCAGCAGCAGCAGCAGCAGCAGCATCACTAGTGTTGACATCACCATCGTCAGCAGCATCCGCATCCTCAGCATCAGCATCATAAGCATCATCAGCAGCAGCAGCATCACCACTAGTGTTGCCATCATCAGCATCATCAGCAGCAGCATCAGTATCATCAGCATCAGCAGCCGCAGCGGCATCAGCGTCAGCGTCAGCAGCATCACCTGCAGCATCATCATCAGCAGCATCAGCATATGAAAATGCATCAGCATGCACAGCTGTCTCATCGTCCTAAGCATCATCATCAGCAACAACACCAACAGCAGCAGCAACAGCAACAGCAACAGCAACAACAACCACAAGAGCAACAACCACAGCCACATCAACGACAACAACAATCACAACACCAACAATAACGACCACACCACCACCACCACCACCACCACCAACAACAACAACAACAACAACAACAACAACAACAACACCAACAACAACAACAACAACAACAACAGCAACAACAACAACAACAAGTTTAAGACTGTTCGCTCTAACCTGCTCGCATGCCAGTCCACATGTATATCCCAAACCCTCGGAAACCGCCCTGTTCGTCTTCGATCGTACCCCCCGTTGGGGGGCGTAGCTTCCCTACCTGCCGCGTGTAGTTGGCGCAGCCCCTAAAACAGGGGAGAAGAGGAAGTATGCAAGGGGGAGGGAGAAGAATGGAGCACGAGAGAGATTAGCAGGAGGGGGGCGAGGACCAGAAAACACGTGGCAGCACCAGACGGGCGGATCGGGCGGGCAGACCCTGATGGGCGGGTCGGGAAGGCGGGCCCAAGCGCCCAGGTCGAGCAGGCGGGTTGCCGAAGCGTGAGATTAAGTCGCGAGGAAGTCTCGAGCGATGGCGCGATTCCCAAGCAGATCGTGAGACAAGCCAGAGCGACAGCGCGACTCCTGAGGGTTGGAGGCGCGACGCTGGAACGAATCGCGGGGAGGTCCCACGCGCGAGCGCGATTCCTGCACAGTTGACGAGGAAGTCCCGCGCGGGAGCGCGCATTTGCGACATGCTTTGGGGAAGTATCACGCGGGAGCCGCTGCGGTTGCAACTCGGGGGCCGACGCCCCAGCTTGGGTTACACCTCGCTCCCCCTGGAAAATAAACGGGGTGCGAGCCCCGAGGGGCACCTGAGCGTAAAAAGCATGTTTACTGAAGGGGGGTCAACACGAATTAAGACTTAAGCATAAGAATTCAAAAGCAACCCCAGCAACAACCATAATAAGTTTAAGACTGCTCGGTCTGATCTGCTCGCGTGCCATTCATCACGTCTATCACAAACCCTCGATCATGACCCACCCTCTTCGTTTTCGGTCATACCCCAATTAAGGGTACTCCAGATTTCGTAATAAAGGGAGGGGGGTCTCATTTCGGGGGGGGGGGTCTCTTCCAGGCTATCTTGGAGGGCCTGGGGGGGTCTGGGGACGATGTCTTGGAGGGTTCTCCCACGGGGGGGGGGTCTGAAATGGCTTGTCTTGGAGGGTCCAGACCCCCTCCCTTTTATTACGAAATTTGGAGTATGTCCTCCTTACCTGCAACGCGTATTTCGTGCAGCCCCTAAGGCAGAGGATGAAAGGACGGATGGAAGGAAGGGACAAGGGGGAGGGAGGAGGACGGAGCACGAGGGAGAACAACAGGAGGGGGGGCGAGGACCAGAAAGCACGTGGCAGAACCAGACGGGCAGATCGGGCGGGTAGACCCTAACGGGCGGGTCGGGAAGGCGGGCCCAGGCGGCCAGGTCGAGCAAGCGGGTTGCTGAAGCGTGCGTCCTGCATGAATCGCAAGAAATCTCGAGCGATAGCGTGATGCCCAAGTAAGCCGTGAAGACATCCAAAACAAGAGCGTGGAACCTGAATGTCGAGGGTGCGGCGTCTGAATAAAGTGCAAAGAAGTCCCACGGGAGAGCGCGACTCCTGCACAGAGTGTGAGGAAGTCCCGCGCGAGAGCGCGACTCTGTAATAAATTGTGATGAGCTGTCAAGCAGGAGCCGTTGCTGTTGTTGTAAACTGGGCGCCAGGAGCCCAGTACAATAAGAATAACAACAATCGTGTTAAGACTGTTCGCTATGACCTGCTCGTGTGCCATTCATCACGTCTATATGGAAGAAGGGAAACCAACAAACAAAAACACACACACACACAACAAAAAACTGTCTGACCTGCAACGCGTATTTCGTGCAGCCCGTAAGGCAGAGGAAGAAAGGACGGATAAAAGGAAGGGACGAGGGAGGAGGAGGAGGATGGAGCACGAGAAAAAGTAGCAGGAGGAGGGCTTGGAGCAGAAAACAACTGGCAAAACCAGACGGGCAGATCAAGCGGGTAGACCCTAACGGGCGGGTCGGTAAGGCGGGCCCAGGCGGCCAGGTCGAGCAGGCGGGTTGCTGAAGCGTGCGTCCTGCATGAAGCGCGAGGAAGTCTCGAGCGATAGCGCGATTTCCAAATAAATCGTGAGAGGTCCACAGCGAGAGCGTCACTCCTGAGTGTCGAGGGCGCGGCGTCTGAATAAATCGCAAGGAAGTCCAACGCGAGAGCGCGATTCCTGTATAAATTGCAAGGAAGTCCTGCGCGAGAGCGCGAATGTTTCAAAATATTGTAAGCAACTACCCGGCGGGAGCCATTATAGCTCGGGCGACAGGGGCCCAGCTTGGTGCCCTGAGTAAATAATCCTTATAAGGGGGGAACAGCATCAAACATTATTACTCAGAAACCCCGACTAAAGAATCCTTAGAACGAAGACTTAATGACACCGGAGAAAAAACCCAATCATAATCTGTTTAGGGCTGCAGGGGGGTGAATTGTGAGGAAGTATCGAGCGGGAGCCGCTGTTGTCGTAGCTGGGCCTCCAAGGGCCCACATTTAGAGTCAAGCCAACGCTCGAGCAGGAGCCTCGTTCACAGAGAACATGTAGCTGGCGTCGAAGCGAGAGCGCGCGGAACCGTTTCTGGAGATCACCAATAACTATTCTTGAGAGATGAATATTCAACAACAACAACAACAACAACAACAACAACAACAACAACAACAACAACAACAACCGCAACAACAGCAACAACAGCAACAGCAACAACAATAGCAACAACAGCAACAACAGCAGCAACAACAACATCAACAACAACAACAACTACAACAACTACAACAACTACAACTACAACTACTACTACTACTACTACTACTACTACTACTACTGCTACTACTACTACTGCCACTACTACTACTACTACTACTACTACTACTACTACTACTACTACTACTACTACTACTACTACTACTACTACTACTACTACTACTACTACTACTACTACTACTACTACTACTACTACTACTACTACTACTACACTACTACTACTACTACTACTACTACTACTACTACTACTACTACTACTACTACTACTACTACTACTACTACTACTACTACTACTACTACTACTACTACTACTACTACTACTACTACTACTACTACTACTACTACTACTACTACTACTACTACTACTACGACTACGACTACGACTACTACGACTACTACGACTACTACTACTACGACTACTACTACTACTACTACTACTACTACTACTACTACTACTACTACTACTACTACTACTACTACTACTACTACTACTACAGCTACTATCATTTTAAGACTGTTCACTCCTATCTGCTCACGTGCCAATCAATACGTATATCCCAAACCCTCGGTACCCGCCCTCGTCGTCTTCGATCGTACCCCCTTGGGGGTATATCTTCCTTACCTGCCACGTGTACTTGGCGCAGTCCCTCAAACAAGGGAAGAGAGGACGGGTGGAAGGGGGAGGGATAATAATGGAGCGCGAGCGAAATTAACAGGAGGGGGGCAAGGAGCAGAAAACAAGTGGTAGAACTAGACGGGCAGATCGGGTGGGCAGACCCATAGCGGGCAGGTCGGGAAGGCGGGCCGTAGCCGGGGGCCCAGGGGAACTGTTTGGCCCGGATGACTTTCCCTGTCAAGTAAACAAGGTGCGAGCGTCGAGGGACGCACTTTGACTGAGAAATGGGCAGCGTGGTGGGGTATCTGTGGGCGCGTTCGGGGCCTCTGCGGGCTGCGTCTGGGGCCTCAGTGGACAGCGTGGTGGGGCCTCTGTGGGCGCGTTCGGGGCCTCTGTGGGCTGCGCCAAGGGCCTCAGTGGGCAGCGTGGCGGGGCCTCCGTGGGCGCGTTCGGGGCCTGTGGGCTGCGGCAGTCGCCTCTGTGGGCATCGTGGCGGGGCCTCACTGGGCGAGTCTGAGACGGGAACCGTCGTCGATGTAGCCCAGGGCCCAGGGGCACAGTTTGGCCCGGATGACTTTCCCTGTCAAGTAAACAAGGTGCGAGCGTCGAGGGGCGCACTTTGACTGAGAAAAAACAATGCGCACTGGTGGGGGGGACCAACAGAAATCACTTCAGGAAAAAAAATCAACATCAGCTGACGTGCGAGGGAGAGGGAATCGGAAGGAGGGGGGAGGCGGCCCGGGAGGAGGGAGGAGCAGGAAGGTAAGAGTGCGAACGTTCGAAGAAGTCCTAGGCGAGAACTATTCCACAAGGAAGTCTCGGGCGGCAGCCCACGACGGGCGGGGGCGATCCTCTGACGGGCGGGTCGGGCGGGTGGGACATTCAAGCGGGATGCCTGAGTAGGGCGAGAGCGCGATTCCTAAGTAAAGTGTGACGGCGTCCTTGGCGCGAGCGTTGTGCCTGAGCGTAGATAGCGCGATTTCTGAATGAACTGCGAAAAAGTCACAGGCGAGAGCGCAATTCCTGAAACGGGTATGTCTGGTGGGAGCAGGGGTTTTGACTAAAGCGCAAGGAAATCTTACGCGGGCTCGCCGCTCTTGAATGAATTGTGAGGAAGCCTCAGACGGGAGGGGGGGTCCTGACTAAATTGCGAGGAAGTCACCGGCGGGAGCGCCGATCCTGAATAAAGTGGGAGGAAGTCTCAGGCGAGAGCGGGGGTCCTGAGTAAAGTTGGAAGAAGTCTCAGGCGGGAGCCGTTGTTGTAGTAGTCCGGGGGAGCAACAATGCAGTTTGACCCGGACTAAATTGTGAATAAGTCTCAAGCGGGAGCGCCGTTCCTGAGTAAATTGGGAGGAAGTCTCAGACGGGAGGGGGGTGTCCTGAGTAAATTTGGAGGAAGTCTCAAGCGGGAGCCGTTGTTGTTTTAGTCCAGGGGGCCAGGGGCCCAGTTTGACCAGGAAAAACAGGGTACGAGCGTCGAGGGGTACACTTTGACTGAGAAAAACAATATGCACCAGTGAGGAGGGATCAACAGTAATTGTTCTTCAGAAATGAAAGTTCAACAACAACGGCGTCGGCATCAGCATCAGCATCAGCACCAACATCATCTTATCCTCTACCCTGCCATGCCGTCATGCCCCCTGCTCCTGCTCCCGCTGCTTCTGATTCACTTTCTCTTCCTCCATATTCCGTTCACCCCCGCCTGTATCCTCGCATTCAACATGTTACCCTCCTCAAATGCTTCTCAACTGGTTCCTCCTCCCTCTCCTCAACAGCATCCTCGTCCTCGTTGTCACAGCCTGTCGCCATCTTCCTGCACTCCTTCTCCTCCTCCTCCTCCTCTTCCTCCTCCTCCTTCTCCTCCTCCTGGTTCTTCACCTCCTCGTACTCTTCTACCTGATCCTTTTCCACCCTCCGCCATCATCTCCCCCCTCCTCCTCCTCCTCCTCCTCCTCCTACTCCTCCTCCTCCTCCTCCTCCTCCTCCTCCTCCTCCTCCACCTCCTAAATCGTCACCTGGCCTTGAGACGACTGACAAGGTGCCAGCCCCTGAATGCTTTAACCAAGCTCTGGCCCTCGGGACACCCTATGTATCATGCCCCTCCAGACTCGTCCCGTCGCCCCAGGAAACGTGGTCAGCGGTCCAGGCAAGGGGCTCGGTCACATGGGCCGCTGCGCGCCGCGACTGCGCCCGCATCGGTGGGCCGATCCTTCATCTTCACCTCCACCTCCTCCACCTCCTACTCCTCGTCCTAGTCTCCAGCTAGCAGCACTAAGTTTAGTGCTTAATTCGTCTGGTTTCTAAGGTCGGCACTGGTGTTCGACCGCGCCCGGTCCTCCATTTCATTCAGGCTTGGTCTCGTCTTCGGGTGATTCCTCGTTCTATGCTGCGTCCTGCGTCCTCCTCGTCCTAGTCATTCATTCCTATTCCTTCTGAGTCGGCCGCTTCCTTCTGAGTGCTTCAGGTTCCTTCAAGATCACCGCGTTGAGTGTTCCAAATACTCGTTGAAGGCCCCAGGCCCCAGATGCCCCCAATTCCTGATCGTGTCGTAGCGCTCCTGGACGCTGTCGCAAATCGTCGCGTGACTTTTCGAGAGGACTCGGCAACGTGGCTGGAAATCGAATGAGCCTGACTGGCAACGTGGCTCGACCCCGACTAGAGGTCTCTTTCTTCCAAGGCAATTCAAGGCAATTCTGAGCCATGTAAGTTGCATTGCTTGACATTGCTTGGCATTGCTTGGCATTTCTTGGCATTGCTTGGCATTGCTTGGCATTGCGTGGATCAGTTGCTTAACATTGCTTGGCATTGCTTGGCGTTGCCGGGCATTACTTGGCAATGCTTGGTGCTGGCTGGCATTGCTCGGCGTTGGTTGGCGTTGCTTGGCGCTGTCCGGTATTGCTTAACATTGCCTGGCACTGCTTAGTATTGTTCGGATTTGCTTGGCCTTGCTTGGCATTGCTTGCTCGGCATCGATACTACCTCAACGCCGCGCTGCAAGCAGCGCTGTGCCGCCCGAATGCCACGCAACGGTCCGACGACAAAAGAGCGCGCGCGCGCGCTTGTGCTGCCTGCGCCTGGCGAGGTGATGATGAGCGCCCCAGCGGCCCGCCGACGCGAAAGAGCGTGTTGTTGGCGGCGCGCACAAGGGGGTGGGGGAAGGGGGGAGGGCTTCTTAGAAGCAGGCTGTTTCTTAGAAGGCGCCGGCCTTACATCTATAGACAAGGCCCGCACCTTCTAATCAGGAGTGCTTCTAAGAAGCCCCCCCCCCTCCCCCCACCCCCCTCTGCGCGTGGCTGATGTTGGCTGCGGCCCGGGGCAGACATCTGACGCGCTTCGTCGCTGGACGGCTCGCGGGGACCGCATCTCTAAGGAGCCGAGTTCTATACACCGACGCTTTGTCCAGCCCCGCAGTGAAATTCGCACAAGACAAGGGATCCTGGTGTCTACGGGACCCTGGCATATACATTCTTAACTATCTCCCTGGGAAAGCGGGGGAACACGTATACACCACACCACCCCGACGTCGTCGCGGACCCTCAAGAATCCCCTGGGTTTGAAAAACAACTCGCCACTGGTAACGTATATGCTCCAATTTCCGAACATCTGCCCCGCGGTCCCTGCCGAGGTCCACCACCGACTTGGGCAGGGTGAGCTTCACCTCTTGTCTGAACCTGGGCCGGCCGGGCGGGGGTCGGATGCCGAGAGGGGGCGCGCCAGCCGGGAGGCCGAGGCCAGACAGAAGCGCGTCGCACTCCCCGTCCGCCTGCTCCTGCTCCAGATCCGGCGCCTCCTCCTCCTCCTCTTTCTCCTCCTCCGCTTCCTCCTCCTCCTCCTCCTCCTCCTCTTCCTCCTTCTCCTCCTCCTCCTCCTCCTCCTTCTCCTCCTCCTCTTCCTCGTCCTTCTCCTCCTCCTCCTCCTCCTCCTCCGTCCCTCTTCCACTTACGTAACTCATCCCTGTCGCACCCCAGACACGTCGGTACGGCGGGCTGGGCGCTTCACCCGCGTTGTCCTCAGCACTCATGATCCTGAAGCTTGCAGAGTTCGCACAGATGCCAGATGGAAGGGGGTGCGTAGTCAAAATGCGGCTCTCGCCTTCGCGCCGCGCAAATCACTTTCAATGATGGCAACGTATCCACGGTGGGGTGGCACGGAAGGAACAGCAGGTGTTTCCAAGCCGTGGCGCTCGCCTTCGCGACGCGCAGCTGCGTTTTGGGAGTTCACACGCAGACTCGGGCTGCCGCCTGAGCGCCGCACGCTCGTCGTCAAAGCCTGCAGCAGCTATACGGATGGAGAGCGGTTCTTCTCAAAACGACTTAGCGCCGCGCACATATGTCTTCAAAGTTGCTGCACCGACATGTATAAAAGGGCGGTTCCTTTGCAGAATGGGGCTCTCGCTTGAGCGCCGCGAACACGCGACTCACAATATTACTGCCTTTGTCGGGTTCACAATGGCGCTTTCGACGTAGCGCCGCGCCCATTCGTCTCAAAGGCTTGCAACCTTGACACGGATGGAAGACGGCGCCTTTTCAAAATAGGGCTATCGCCTGAAACTTCCTCAACTCGAACGGTCAGAATTTGACCATGTGTAACAGCTGCACGGATGGAGGGATCGTTGTCAAAAGTGAGCTCTCACTCGAGACGTCCTCGAAAACCACGGCCGGACGTGTAGACACACGCGCACGACCCCAATCAGTGAGTGCAGCGAGCGAGACCGCACCTGGTGAACCTCAGGATTGGAGCATTCGCAGGTGCAGCGGGCACAGCCGGGGCCGCGGGGAGACCCCCGGGGCAAGGGCGGTACCATCCACAAGCCCCAGGAAGAAGCAGCACGGGGTGCCCCTGGGCACGGAGAGGTCGTTCCCGAGACGTCGTCTGGCCCGGCGCCCCGCGGAGTCTTGCGAGGCGCGCCGGGGGCGGCACTTGTGCCGACGGGGCCGCCGGCGGAACCACTTGCAAACTGGAGCGCTCGCTGTAACTTAGAATGCCCCTTGGTACCTTCAGGTGGGGCCTGGTTCATGAAGAATTGTGGATCGTGGCCTTAAAAAGGACGGTTGAGGAGAGAACGCAGATGCTTGACCGCGCGGCAAGCTACATACATACTGACAGCAAGCCGGCGTAATCGCAATGCTGCGAAGGGCAAGGAAAAAATGCTGAAGATCACTATCCGGAGGGGCCTCACTGAGCAATCTGCGCCTCATCCATGCATGCAGTACTGGGCATCGCAGATAATGCTCAATGCTGTCTTCGCCGGCACTGGCGCGCCCAAGACGACACCTGCGCGAGCCATCGCTGAGGCCTCGCATGCGACGGCCACGAGTCCAGCGATTGAGAAAGGTGCTGATCACAGCGGCGGCGACACGCGGAGTCACCAGACTGCGCATGCGCTTGAGGTTGATGCTGGTCCGGCGCGCAGCTCGCCAACGAATGCCTCGTCAGCCCCATCGCCCCAGACATTGGCGGAGCCTCTCCTCCACGTTGAGACCAGACTTCGAGAGCATCTCTGTGACCAGCCAGCACTGTAGACCCCTCCGAAGCTTCTGTTCCGAACTAGAGAGGAGAGGGCCCACGGCGACTGGGCCCACGGCGACCTTGGCGATCGCCTCCTAGGCTCGCACGCTCGCAAGGCCAATCTGTTCTGCAACCGCGCCGACCTTGCACACAATTGTACCTATGTGTTTCCGGCAACCTCCGTGCCTGTGAACGAGCCTGGGCAGAAAGTCAGCGCATAAACGGCACTCCTTCCATATCCGTTTGATACGAGACGAACAGGAGGACGGGCAAAGTGTAAATGTCGCACGTCGCGATTGACGTCGCAAGCCCGAGTTCGGACCAAGGCCAATCGACGAGTCGCCGCGTAAAGTTCTGCCATGGGCCCGCCCACGATGTCTGACCACTGCCTGGCCCGATGATGAAGCCCAGGTCTTTCGCATAATCGTCCCAAGCGATGCGCGGGTTCGATGCGTCCTCTTCCACTCTCCTCTTGACCGCTGCCGGGGACTCTGGCCATAAAGGTGAACCGACTGTTTTCGAGAAGTTCAGCTCGAGAAGCAAAGACGCCACAAACTCTGCAAAAATCTCGACCAAGCGCTGCCCTTCCGCTTGCCACGAAGACGGGACTACGGCGGCGTCGTCAGCGAAGGCCCTGGGCACGCTATCGGGCATAGACTTCTGGATGATCCGCAGGAAGGCCGTCGCTGGAAAGTGCGGAAAGTAACGGCGAGAGAGGACATCCCTGGCGGATCCCCCGCTGCAGGGAAATCCAGCCGAACCGTTGGCCACTCAGTACGAGCTCACAGCGGTTGCACATGTATAAACCCTGAACCGCCCGTAGCGCGCCGGATGGCAGTCCCGCCGCCTCTAATGACGCCATCACGAAGGACCTCGACAATGAAGGGAATGCCGCCGAGTTTTCGAAGTACACCGCTGCTGGGTCGTCGAACTTCAACGAACAGCGTTGCGAGGCATCCTCGATTTCGATGATGCTCCTGGGCATATTCCTGCCTGTAGCGAAGCCCTGTGACCAGAGGCGAGATACTTGGTTCCCAGCGCCACCGAAAGGCTGCAGCGACGATGCGATTGTCCGCATTCGTCACAAATAATGGCCGGGTCTCTTTGCGTCATGGACTGGTTGTCCCGCAGCGTTGGCCTTCCCGGCTGTTTTCGGCTGACAAAACATCAACGCCTCATTCCAGCCCGCGTAAGCGGGGCGGTCAGGCCAGGACCCATCCTCAAGCTGTCGCGCCACCCCCAACAACGTCTCGCAACCAAGGTTGCCTAGCTGTCTCTACGCTGTAAACGGGATCCCGTCAGGACCCGGGCGGCCATTGCCAGAGATGCGAAGGGCCCGCTCGACGTCCCGCAGTCGCACTCGCCAGCGGGCTCAAGGAGTCGCTGGTGCCTTGGCCCCCGCCGCCCGTGCCAAGTTGAACCAGTGCTGTGTTCGAGGGTCGTCCTGCTCCGCGGGGCCGAAGACCTTTCCCCAGTGAGCTTCCAGTAACTGGGCAAACTCGATGGGCCTCCGTCGTGGTTTCCCGTCCCTGGTCCTCCATGGCCTGGATACCAGTGGCATGGGTGCATCGTTGAAGGCGTGCGAGCCTGCCCTGGATAGCGTTCCGGAGAGGTAGGACCGCAGACGGCCCAGCGATCTGCGCCGAGTCGAAGTCCTCCCGCATATCCGACGTGAGCTCGTTTTTGGTCAGTGCAACTGCTTCGGCCTGTAGTCGCCGTGCCGCCGTCTGCAGCGTTGCATCGTGGCCTTCCAAGCCGAACTCCCGAACCCACTGAAGCGGGAGCGCACTCAGGAGGCTGGTGATCGTCTGGACACGCCGCAGCTGGATGACAGAGAGAATGCGCAAGGCTGTAGCGGACGTGGGGGGGCCTGTGGGACCCTCCAAATACGCGCGGTCGACCTTGGTGTGGATCCTGGTGTTGGTCACCTCCCGCATGGCGTCCTTCGTCATCTGCAGTTTGTCCATCGCATCCAGCTCCCCGTGCGTGGCGCAGTGTTCCCGTTCCTTGTGGAGCGCGGCTCGCGCCACTCGGAGTGCCCAGTCTGGGTGACAAGCTCTATGATCAGGAAGAGTCAACAAAGATGAGCCCTTTGGTGGGAGACGCCGTCCAAATGAGAAGGGGGCGTGGTCCGAGACCCCACAGACGAACCCAAGTCGGGCGATGAAGTGCGTGCCATCGAAGAAATCCGCGTCGTGGTGGTTCGTTAGTATGCGATCCAACCGAGCTGATGAAGAAAGGGTGCGATGCGTGCGCGGCTCCTGGAAGAGCTCGCGAAGGCCCGCAGGCTTGAAAACATGGTCCTGCCAAAAAAGTGGCTCGACCGCATCGCGGTGCCGCGTGAGAGCTTGGTTGCGCGCGTAGAGTGGTCCTCGTTCCGCACGACATTGTTACAATCACCGCCAATCACATGCAGAGCACCAGGGTGCTGCTCAAACCAGTCGGCCATCTGTCGAGCAATTCGCCGCCTATCGTCTGCCGCTCGGCCCGTGGGCAAGTAAAGAAGACGTTGATAAAATTCAAATCGCCTCCCTGACCGTGAAGTTGAAGAATGCCTACCCTGCCCGGCTTCAGCTCGATCCACGATGTCGCCGACAGCGTGGCGAAATGATCAAGAAACGTCTTCTGCACAAGGGCCATTGAGCCTCCCTGGTGCCGGCTCCCATGGGCCCAGAAAGGCGTAGTCCCAGGCGGCGACTGGAAAGCACCGGCGGTGCCCTCGGTGCCGTGCACCTCCTGGAGGAGTAAAAAATCATGGCTCGATACCAAAGTCATCATCTGCGTTTGCTTCCGTGCCTGCGCCTCCGGATCGTGTGCAAGAAGGCCGCGCGCATTCCAACATGCGCCCTGGTAGCCGCCACCGAAGGGCAGCCGTAAATTAGACGACGAACGAGAGGGGGACCGTCTCAGCGAAGGAGTCCACAGAGGGCAGCCGTCCTGGTCCGTCGGAAGGGGTGCAGGCGGCAGCAGTCGTGGAGGACCGGCTGGAGCTGGGGAGCGAGGTATGTAGGCCGTCTCTCAGCTATCGTATCCAAGTTCCTGGTAGCAAAAATCGTGCAGTGAATTGCGATCCCAGCCAGCGTCGAGGGTACCCATCCTCGAGGCCCGTGGAGACCGTAGTCCTCGCGCTGATCCTCAAGCCCGGAGCGAGAGACCTGAGGCGCAACCCATAGGCTTTCGGCTACGCCCGCGGAGCCCGTGGGGTACGGGAGTGAAAAGGAAGGCTGATATGGATTTACGAGAAAGGGACTTCGGACGAGAGGGTGTATTGCAGCATCGTTCTCCTCCTCCTCCTCCTGCTCATCATGATCGTATGTCTCCGCTACGTCGCCGTTCTCATGTCTCTCTCTCTCTCTGCCTCTCTCCCTCTCCTCCCTTCTCCTGCTTCATCCAGTCATCTTACTTTCCTTGTCATCATCACGTTACTCGTCCTCCCACTCCTTCACTGGTCCTGTGGTCCTGCACCACCACATCCACATCCTCGTCATCCTGTTCATCATCCAAATCATCATCATCATCATCCGCACGAGTCGGCGTCCTTCTAGTCGTACGCCTCATGCTCCCGTACATCCTCTTCCTCCCCCATCCTTCCTCTCCTCGATTACCTCATTGTCCCGCTCCTCATCTTCATCCCTCCTCATCCTCATAATTACCACCACCACCACCACCACCACCATCATCATCATCATCATCATCATCATCATCATCATCAGAATCAGCATCACCATCATCATCAACAGCAGCAGCAGCGTCATCGCCATCATCATCATCGTCATCATCAGCAGCAGCATAATCATCATCATCACCACCACCATCATCATCATCATCATCATTATTATCATCACCACCATCCTAAATCATCATCGTCATCATCGTTCTCCTCCTCCTGCTCATCATGTTTGTATGTATCCGCGACGTCGCCGTTCTCATGTGTCTCTCTCTCTCTCTCTCTCTCTGCCTTTCTCCCTCGCCTCCCTTCTCCTGCTTCATCCCGTCATCAGACTTTCCTTATCATCATCACGTTCCTCGTCCTCCCCCTTCTTCACAGGTCCTGCACCACCTCATCCATATGCTCCTCATTATGTTCATCATCCAAATCTTCATCATCCTCCTCCGCACGAGTCGGCGTCCTTCTAGTTTTGCGCCTCATGCTCCCGAACATATTCCTCCTCCCCCATGCTTCCTCTCCTCCACTGCCTCATTGTCCCGCTCCTCATCTTCATTCCTCCTAATCCTCCCCATAATTACCACCACCATCATCATCATCATCCTCATCTCATTCGCATCCTCATCCTCCTCATCAGCATCATCATATCATCATTATCATCGTCATCGTCATCGTCATCATCATCATCATATTATCATCATCACCGTAAGCATCATCAGCATCATCACTATCACCATCACCATCACCACCACCAACACCACCACCATCATCATCACCACCACCATCATCATCATAAGCATCATCATCATCGTCGTCATCATCATCACCATCATCACCATCATCATCATCATCGCCATCACCATCGCCATAGCCATCCTCCACATCCTCTAACACCCCCTTCATCCTGCTCCAAATCCTCCCCCCCCCTCCTCGGATCCCTCCTCCGATCCCTCCTCCGGCGTCCCCTATCACCCTCAGCGCGTCCATCCCCCAAGTTATCATCCTACTCGTCCGCCCCAATTCCCCCTCTTTTGCCTCCTGCCAACCACGACCGCACATTTGCTCCTCCTCCTCCTCCGCGGCGGCGTACCATCGACCGGTCGACCAGGAGCTTGAGGCGCAAGCTTTAATAGCAATCGCACGCATGCCGGTCGCGCTCAAGCCAAATCCGCTTTCTCCTAATAGGCGTAGGCGTAGGCAGAAGCGATCCATACAGTAAAAACTAAGGAAGCAGAAGGCGTCTTTCAGGACAAGCCCACGCACCACACCCAGCGAGCTAGGGAGATGACAAAGACGACTACTCAGCAGAGAAACGCCCGAATGGAGCGCCTTGGCTAAAAACGGTGACGAATAATCATCAAAGGCCAGTAAAAAAGGACAGGAACTGCAGCGTTCAGTGGCCGCGAGTGGCTTCCACATGCTTCTACGCGCTGCCACCTGGCTTCGCTTGCACTCGGTTGCTTCAAATTGCTTCGAACTGCTCTGACGCGCTTCCGCGCGCTTCGACTTGCTTCCGCTTGATTTCATTCGCTCCTAATTGATTCCGCGCTCGGTTCATTATGTTTGGCGTTCCACTCGTGCACGGCGGCGCCTGTTCGTGCACACATACATTCACGCACGCAGTCGCATGCATTGGCGCAACCAGGGACACGCACGCGACCGCACAGCTTCGTGAACCGAATCCTGAATTAAAGTTTGCACAGCGTTCCCTTCTCCCGCCTCCTCCGTATTCTCCTCCTGAATCCCCTCGGAAGCCCCCAAAAAAACCTAGAGAACGTTGTGGCAAAAAATCAAACCGTATCAACCCTCCCTCAGCCTCCTCGTCCTCGTCCTCCTCATCATCATCCTCATCAGCAACAGCAAAAGCATCATCATGATCACTATCATTATCAGTATCATTACCGTCATCATTATCATTATTTATCATCAGCATCCGCATCCTCGCCATCATCCTCACTGCAATCGTAAATATCATCACTACCACCATCAGGAGCAGCATCAGCATCGGCATCATCATCGGAGACAGCCTCATCATTATCATCATCAGCAGCATCATCAGCAGCAGCAGCATCAGCACCAGCATCAGCATCAGCATCGGCAGCATCATCATCATCCTCATCATCATCCTTATCAGCATCATCATCAGCAGTACCATCAAAATCCGCATGCTCGTTACCATTAACAGTGTTAATAGCAACAGCATCATTATCGACAATCTCATCATCATCGTCGTCGTCGTTGACATCATCAGCATCATCAGCATCGTCGTCATCATCATGATCATCATCATAATCATGGTCGAAATAATCAGCAGCAGCACCATCACCAGCAACAGGATCAGCATCCCAATCATCAGCATCATCATCATCAGGAGCAGCATCAGCATCATCATCCTGCTCCTGTTCCTCCTCCTCCCCCTCCCCATCGTCATCGTCATCGTCACCACCATCATAACTACCACTGTCAACATCAGTGTCAACATGGTCGTCACCATCTAGCGCGAACTGGTTGGCTGGGAGCGCTGAGGCTCCAGGCGCGAAGAAGGACAGAGAAAGAGAGAGAGCAGAGCGGCAACCACGCTCGCAGGCAGGCCAGGACTCGCACGGATGGGGCGGCGGCTCCCCAAGCGGCCAACTGAAAGCGGGCGCGCTACCCTTCGTCCAGAGCTGGAGGCCTGGAAACGGGCACCAACACCAGCATAGGGGGGCTGCCTCCACAGGGGTCAGATGATCCTAGATTTCGGCATTGGCGGTAATAGTTCGGTCGCCTTGGAAGTCAGAATATTACCACCATCACCGAGATCGGGATGCTCTTCCTTCGGTAGAGGCACACCGCCGATATTTGTTCTTCCCTCCTCACTTGCACTGATCCACGGCAGCCTTGGTGGCCGCAGCCGTGTCTTGACACTGCTCGCATATATCTATATCACAGGTCGTGCAAATCAACAGCCGCTCACCGGCACGAATAGGGCTATCACAATAATTGCAAACGTATTTGCCCCACTTGCTGGTTACATGCGGTTTGAGGCCATGTATTCTGTGGCAGCCGAATTGAAAAGCCAAGTCGCACAACAGCTTCGCATCATCAGGAACGCGGTCAGGACGACTCACAGCCACATGGGCTCGGACCGGCGGGGGCGCAGGGGGAACATCAGTCGGAGCACGACGTATATCAGAGAGCTTCGGCGACGGCTTGCTAAGCCTCTTACGGAGATCGTCCAACAGGTTCAATGGGCTGGCGTCAATAACGTACTTCATCATGCCAAGACGGTCCTCGCAGCAGCTGGGGCGAAGGTATTTCGTATGAGAGCATAGCCAGTGATCAAACTGTAAGCGACGCTTTTCACTCAGGGTCTCGTACTTGTTCAGGTAGTCGTCCAAGGCATCCGAAGGTTGAGAATCAGCTTTAGGGTAACCATCGGCATGAGTAGGAATGTCAGGAAAAGATTCAGCACGAAGAGGTTCGCGAAGATCAGCGGCACGAACAGGGACATCACAAACACGTGACACACACGAGGTAGGCTGCACACCAAGGGATAGCGAAGAAGAACAGCGCGAAAGAGAACCGTGAGGACTGATCGGGGTAGCAAAAAGTTCGGTCGCCGATTCCACGACTTCTGCAGGGAGCAATTCTGACAATACCAGGAGGCGCCGAGGTCTGGGTAAAAGCACATCAGTCAACTGTAACAACGCTTCTTCTATAGCTCGACGGCGCCTGTGCAACACCCCCCAGAGATCTCTTCAGAAGCATGGCCACGACGCTCGGCAGAGACGCCACGACACTGCTTCCAAGGCTGGGCAGGAGCACGAACAAGGACGTCAGGAGAAGAGACAGCGGCAGCCCAGGGATCGGGGGAAGCGAGCGGGTCGGGGCCCACACTGTCGCCACACTCGGCGGCGCAGACGGCAGCAGCACGAAGAGCGACAAGTCCGACTGCATGTCCGGCACGACTCGCAATCCGAGGGGTACGCATAGCAACCTTGTCGGAGAGATCCTGAGCACAATCACGAGGAGCAGAACGAGCGGCATGTCTAGCGAAAGGATGAAGGACTCCAGATGAAGCGTCATGATAGCCATGAACTTTAAGAGAACGAACAACTTGGTTTGCAGATTCAGTCACTTAGTCATCCACGGGGGGCACAAAAAAACATATTTCACCATTGTCAGCGCGAGGGCGAACAAACCCGCGAGCACGAGCACGAGCACCACGAACAGCAAGAGCTGAAGTCGAATGCTTGTGCACCATATTCACCAAAACGTGGCGGTGGACGCAACCAAAACACTGCAAGAAGCGGGCTTGAGCCAAAATGGCTTGAGCCAAAATGGCTACGGAGGCACACCGCCGATATTGGTGGCGGTGTCAATCTCTAGGCCTGCGATAGAGGTCTGGAGTGGAGCTGCTCCCTCGCGAGCAAGGGCTTGATTTCGAGGAGATGGAGCACATGAATTCCGCAGCTCGCGGACGTGGCCCGTGCCGAGCACGCAAGCTTGCCGATACCTAGGCGCTGTCGCAGCAACCTTCTTCCCTGGAGGCCTGCGGTGAGCGACGCTGGAAAAACAGAGCTGATTCACCAGGCCATCCCACCATTTGCGCGTCTGGCGAGTGCCGAGGGTGAGGTGTGCCGCGAGGCCATCGCTTGCGGAGCGCGAGCGGCGCTTCGCTGCTGGCGTCGCATGGCATGCATACCCGCCGAAGGTGCTGCCTGGTGAACCTGGGCCCTGCGGTTTGGCGGGCTAATTACCGAAGAGCTTAGCACTCCGTTCGAAGACACCAGGAGCAGAAATAGCGTGCGGTTGTGCAGCAGTGCCTCGCTGGTCCGTTTGGAACCGGTCTCGGCAGCGGCTGTCCCGCCTCAGCTTCGCGGTGAGGCGAGCGACGGAACGTGGTGCCGTGCGGTTGAAGCCTGTTCCATTCGCGCGGTGGCCTTGCGTTCGGGCCACTCCCCTCATCCCATACGACTGTGTAGTGCGACACGGTCGATGCTTGCAGGCAACCAGCGGGTCGCCAAGTAAGGGCCCTGATGTGTGGCGGGCTGGGCAGCTTCTCCTGCCAGCGCGCAGTCTTGCAGTGCACCTCGGTCGTGAATGCGGTTGGCGTCGAACTCCGAGCGCTCACGGACAATTGCTAGTGCTCGGTTTGCCGCCTGTCGTGCGCATTGCGTTTTTTACTAGCTTGTTGGTGAAGTCGCGCAGTGCAGCGCGACTTCCTAAAGCTATTTGCGGCCGCTGCGGGCACCGACGTCCGATTTCAGACAGCAGCCTAGGCTGGTCTGCTCTTCCCAGCGAGGAGCAGTCCAGCTGGTGCTGAGGCATACAGAGTCGGCGATCGCCCCTCCTACTTGGTCAGTAGCGGG